CCACTCCTCATCGCCGCCATTACTTGCCTCTGCGCCCACTCGCGCAATCCACGATACCACTGCAGCCACCTCCTCCACGCGCTGCCCTGGCCCACTGCTGTTGTGGCCAGCGCCAAACGGATGACGCGTGCCGCCGGCCCGCCGCCGGGGGCTTAGTGCTCTCCTGCGCGTTTATCTCATACAAACAGCGCTGGCGCGAAAAACCGCCTGCGGCGCGCCCGCGGCGCGGCGCGGCCCGACGCGCGGATCGCATGTGGGAGCGCCGAGGGTTGCAGTGGAAGCAGGCAGAGCAGAGGGAGGGTTACGCCTGGTGACCGGCAACGACCGCGTGACGACGGCCGGATTGGCGCCGATGCGAGGCGCATATTGAATTACGGAAATCGTGGCAGCGAGCGCGTGACGAGGCGTGATCGCGGAGCGATGGGATGGAGGGTGTTTGGAGGCTGGGAGGATCAGAACGGGAGGGAGGGCGATGGGATGGCCGGAAGGTTGGACGTCTGGCAGATGGTTGGCGGGCAATTGAATGAACGAGAGGTTGAGCACTGCGGTGATAGGGAGTGGTCAACCTCGGAAGGCAAAGAGGAGGACTCAGACAATTGGCAGTAGATGTATAGTAAGGGGTTGAAGATCAAAAGCTTCACTATTCGAACGTTTTGTTGAGGTTAGCGTTTGCAAGTTGTGGTAGGAGTAGAATATAATACACAAAAAATAAATTATGTAGTTTGTTTCTGGATAGTAATAAGTTTCAGTAAGAAAAAAATAATTTCTAGTTTTGAAACTATTCACTTGCTAGCCTCGCCTTGTTGATACCTTCTGGAACGAATGAAAACGTGCCCGTTCTGGGCGGTTGGTGCGGGTGGGAGAGCGGCAGACGATGGTCAGATGGGCATGGGGTGAGCGGGCAAGTTTCGGCGGGCAGGTAGTCAGATAAGTGAGTGAGTGAGCCGAAAGACGAATTTATTTGAAGCCGGACAGACAGTCCTCTAAGCAAACAGCAATATATGCGGTTAAGTTACAGGCGGATAGAGGGTTAGTCACATAGGGGGCAGGCAGATAGATGCATAGGTTGATAGGCAAATAGCTAGTTAGGCGGATAGAGGGTTGAGCGAGATAGGGAAATAGGCGAATAGGCAGAAATGCGGATAGGGAGTTCGGGAAACAGGTTGGTAGGAGGGAAGAGGGTGGGTGCGGCGCGAGCGAAAGCCGCCAGGCTGGCCCCAGCGTCCGGTGGCGGGCGTCAGATCCCGCCCGGCGCAGGTGGCTTCGCGCCGAGTCCTCCGCCCCGTGTTGCACGCGAGCTTCTTCCTCGGGCGGACCACGTACGAGCGGCGCATCCTCCCGGCCGCTGCGATTGAATCGATTCCCAAAGACAGCGCCGTTGTTCCTGCCACGACAGCACGCTCTTCCTTTGCTCGCGAACAGCTTTTCCCTATTTGAATTGAGTTGTAAGATGAAACATTCTACATCAACTAAAACTACAATGAATATATAGTAGTTGTTATATTAGTTGCTATAGAACTTCTTGCCTCACAACTCACTTCAAAGGAAATAGCTGTGTTCGCATATATAGGCATATGATGGAATATGATGGCTATTGAATAGCATTAACGGCTCTAATAGCTGGAAACTACAAATATTACGGCAGACTAAACGAATCTTTCGCTACTCTCAACGACTTAGTTGTGCAGTTCTCAAAATTGTTCAAAAGTTTTATTCTGAAATGCAAGATAAATCTCTACTTACGTAAAACTAGATTAATAATTTTTACTTTCTCGCAATTGTTTCGTTAGAAGAAAAAGTTATGTAATAATTTTGTTGAAAACAGAGAATTTCGGCAAATAAAACTCTTATTGACTGGCCCTGTTAACAAAAGAGTGGATTAATCCTGTTTCTATATAAAGTAAATTACTTCCTCTAATATGTGGTGTAGTAAGAATCCATGTTTTGTTTGTAATTGATATTGAAAAATTGACGCCAAAACATGTCTGTCCTCTGTGCGTGTATCGATCCGTCGGTCTGTGGTCATCGCTAGCGCCTAAACAGTTCAGCCAATTTTCTCTAAAATTGATATTCCACAATCGATCTGAATAAACTCGAGGCTTCGGGACTTTCAAACGAATATTTTGATTTTTGAGGCCACTTTAGATGAAGCCATTTACTATTGAGACTACTGTTCATGCTACATTTACATGACAGGCGGGCAGGCAGACAGATAGGCGGACAGGCAGACAGACAGGCGGGTAGACAGAGGCAGACGGACGGACAGACAGACAGGCAGACAGACAGGCGGGTAGACAGAGAGG